ACTAGCCAAACAAAATTCCATGGTGCCCACGGCTGTCTAGGGTGCCACCTGGTAGGCAGTCTGCTCTTCCGTGGTAGGAGTCTAAATGGGGGCAGCCTTTTGGAAAACAATCTGGCAAGAGCCATAAAAATGGCAGTTGTAGGCTGGACGAGGTGGCTCATGCCTGTAATCCCAGCAGTTGAGGAGGCAAAGATGGGTGGATCACTTGAGGTCAGGAGTGTGAGACCAGCCTGGCCAACATGGTGAAACCCCATCTCTACTAAAAATACAAAAATTAGCTGGGTGTCACACGGGTGCTTGTAATCTCAGCTTCTTGGGAGGCTGAGGCCAGAGGTCACTTGAACCTGAGGCAGAGGTTGAGGTGAACCAAGATGGCGTCACTGCACTCCAGCCTGGGCAACAAGAGCAAAACTCTATCTCAAAAAACAAACAAACAAACAAACAAACAAACAAAAACTAATGGCAGTCATACATTCCCTTTTCTCAGTAACGCCGACTCTAGGGATTTATCCTATGGCTACACCTGATCAAGTGTGCAAAAATGTAGTTAGAGGAATGTGTTATTGTGAATGTTTGTAATTAAGAAAAGCTAAAGAATAAGATCTACATTGCTCACCAATACATTCTAGATATCATATATTCATTCAAAGAAACACTATGCAGCCATTTTTTAAAGTGTAGTAGATTTCTATGTGCTGATGTGGAAAATGTTTAAACCACAGGAAATGAAAACAAGCAACTTGTGGAAGATTATAACTGAATCCCATTTGTCTAAGAAAATAAAGCATGTGAGTGCTTATGCAGACAGAAGATATCTGGAAAGATAAACACAAATGGTTCATAGTGGTTATCTTGAGGATGAGGGGCTGGAGATGGAGGTGGCCGGGGCCCCGATTCTGTATCCTTCGGCAGAGCTTCAATTTTTTCCTTTCTTACTTTCTTTGTCCCTTTCCTAATCCCTTTCTATCTTTTTTCTTTTTTTCCTTTTGAGATGGAGTCTCATTCTGTTGTCCAGGAGGGAGTGCAGTGGTTTTATCTTGACTCACCGCAACCTCTACCTCCTGGGTTCAAGCGATTCTCCTGCCTCAGCCTCCTGAGTAGCTGGGACTACAGGCCCCCGCCACTATGCCCGGCCAATTTTTGTATTTGTGGTAGAGATGGGGTTTCACAATGTTGGCCAGGCTAGTCTCAAACCCCTGACCTCAGGTTATCCACCAACCTCAGCCTCCCAAAGCTCTGGGATTACAGGCATGAGCCACCACGCCTGGACTTTTTTTTTTTTTTCCTTAAAAAACTATGTGCACATATTACTTTTATAATTTAAACAAATAGTAAAAAACTTAAAAATGTAAAAATGAAGAGGGTAGGCCAGGCATGGTGGCTCACACCTGTAATCCCAGCACTTTGGGAGGCTGAGGTGGGAGGATTATTTGGACCCAGGAGTTTGAGACCAGGCTGGGCAATACGGCGAGATCCTGTCTCTACAACACACACACGCACACACACACACACACACACACACACACACACACACACACACACACACACAGCTGGGTGTGGTGGCATGCACCTGTAGCCTCACCTATTCAGGAGGCTAAGGTGGGAGGATCGATCGACCCTGGGAAGTCAAGGCTGCAGTGAGCTGTGATGGTGCCACTGTACTCCAGCCTAGGCAACAGAGCGAGATCCTGTCTCAGATAAAATAAAATGAAATAAACAGGGTTTTTGGCAACAGCTCAGATACAGATTTTCACTTCTGTTTTAAAGAGCTATTAGAGACAAACTAAATCCCATATTCAAACTGACAAAATAGACCCAATGTTTTTAATGACTACATCTATGATCTAATAACCTCGGGCCCTTCCTGTTCTTATTTTTGGCTTTATGATTTGATATTTCTTCATGCATCCCCTATTTATTTTGTGCCTACCATGTATTAGGCTCAAGGGTTTTCATCTTCTGCAACAGGAGGGTCATTTACAAGAGCCCCAGCTATGCCGCAGAAGGGAGGAGACTGAGGGCAGATGCATGTCTGCCAAGAACGGGATCCAGTCAGCAGACATCTGCTGGGTATTTTCTATGAATATACCCGGCACCAGGAATATAAAAATCAAAGTGGTATGATCCCTGCCCTCTCTGGAAAAACTCACACTTGGTGGAGACCGACACAAACAGGAAAGCCCATGTGGCAAACGTGGTGATGGGCAATGCAGAAGACGCTGTGGATCCCACAGGACACTCTGCCCAGCCTAGAGGGTTGGGAATGCCACTGGGGGAAATCAGCCAGTCTGGAAGTTGAGTGGAGTCCCAAGCATGGAGGGGAGGAGTAGCAAATGAGGGGATGGTGCATGAGAGCCAGCATTAAGGGAAGCGCTGGATGGCCAAGGGGAGGCTGAGCTCAGGAGTGTGGGCTTTACAGTGAGTGTAACCGAGTGACAAGAAATCTCTGTTTTATAAAGGTCACTCCAGCCACAGTGTGGAGCCAGATAAGAGGAAAAAGAGGAAAAGCAGGTAGAGGGACACTGTTCCCAAGTCAGTCACTTTGGCACCACCCTGATGATTTGCACCCTATCTAGGGACCATCTGTGCTCTTACTGACTTAGTATTTTTCTTAAATTAGCTTCCTTAGAAAATATAATTGATTTGGCCGGGTGCAGTGGCTCATGCCTGTAATCCCAGCACTTTGAGAGGCCAAAGTGGGTGGATCATCTGAGGTTAGGAGTTCGAGACCACCCTGGCCAACATGGTGAAACCTTGTCTCTACTAAAAATAAAAAATTAGCTGGGCGTGATGGTGGGCGCCTGTGATCCCAGTTACTTGGGAGGCTGAGGCAGGAGAATCGCTTCAACCCAGGAGGCAGAGGTTGCAGTGAGCCCAGATCGTGCCACTGCACTCCAGCCTGGGCAACAGAGGGAGGCTCCGTCTCAAAAGAGAAAAAATAAAATATAATTGATTTAAACAGGAAACTAGTGATAAGAACAAACAACAGGCTGCGTGGCTCCAGTGCTGGGCCCAGGGTCAGAGTCAGAGGACATAAACTGCAAAGGGCAGTCTTAAGTGAGGCGGCGAATTCAAGTCCCTGCAGGCCTAGGACCAGGGCACAGAGGAGGGGCCGCTGGCTGCAGGAGGGCCCTGTGACTTCATGCTGCTCCTCACTTCACTTCCTTCCGCTGGCTTCCACGCTTCCATCGCTTCCGACCTCGGTGTCCCGGTCTTCTGTCTCTTTCACTGCCTCTTCTTCCCAGCCTTTCTGTGTCGGAGGCTCCCGGATCCAGCATGGGTCCCATCCTCTTTCCTCCTTTACAGCCTTCTCATGGCTGTAAATGGCCTCTAGATGTGGGCGGCGCCCAGATGTGAGCTTCAGCCCAGATTTCTACTCCAGCCTCGTACCCAGCAGCCCACCTGATTCGTGGATTTCGATCTCCCATACATCTTGAGCTTAGCACGTCCAAACCCGACTCCTGTTTTCCCCCAAATCTTCTATGCCTCAGATCTTCCGTATCCCAGGGGATGGCAAATCATTCTTCCGGCTGCCCAGCTGGAAACCCAGTGGTCATCCTGGATTCCATATTTCTCTCGCACCTCCTCCGATTTTCAGACAATCCTGTTGGTCCCACCTTCGGAGCATGTCCAGAATCCGGCCACTTCCCACTCCATTACTCCACTGCCCTCGGCCTGCTCCTGGCGATGGCTCCTACCTGGTCCCCACCACGCAGCAGCAGGGAACTATTTTAAAATGTGGGATCCTGTCACTGCCCTGCTCTAAGCCTCCCCAATGCGTCCCCACGTCGCGCAGAGGAAAAGCCACAGTCCTTAGGGACACTGGCAAGGCCCGACCCAATCTGCGCGCATGCGCCCACGGCCTCTGCCCGCAGCTCCCGGCGCCCGGTGCCCCTCCAGCCACCCCGGTCCCCTCACGGTTGGCTGAACACACCAAGGTCCCTGCCGCAGGCACAGTCCCACCTTCGGGGCCCCTCACCTCCTTCGAGCCTGAAAGCCCGGCTCCTCCCCGCCTCCCCAGGGCCTTCCTGTTTTACCTTCCAACGAGCCACACCATTTACTTATTTTTTTATTGCCCGCTACCCCACCCAGGATGCTCGAGGAAGGCGAGGCGCTGTGTCTGTTCTATCGCCTCCCCTGTCCCCGGCGTCTGGGGCCGCGCCCGGCGTAGGGTCACGTCCGTCGCTGGGCTTGTGGGGACACAGTGACCAGACCCTGGAAGACAGCAGCTCGGGAAGGACAGGGGGCCGTCGCGGTGGAGGGGCGCGCGGCTGCACGGCCAGCGTGGGGCGGCCGCGCGGGGAAGCGACGCCCGAGAGACTGCGGGGCCCTGGCGCGGACGGAGGCCGTCGCGGAGCCCCCGGGACTGCCACTGAGGGGCCCGCGGGGGCCGCGAGGGCAGGAAATCCCAAAAGCGCGCGGCCGCTGTCGGCCAGGAGAAGGGACGTTCCGGAGACGGCTCTCGGGGAAGCCACGGAACTCGGGCGTGACCGCCTTCGAGAACCGAGAGGTGAGACGTGCGACCCGGTGCGACTGGCGGAGGCGCCCCGGCCGAGCGAGCGCAGTGGCAGCGCGGGGGGCTGGGGCCGGAACGGCGGGCGATGCGGGCGTGGGACGCGGAGGCCTAAGTGAGCGAAGAAGGAGGCGGCTCCACTGCCGGGCGGGTAGCTGAGGGGATGGCCTCGGACAGCGGCGGCGTGGCGGCAGCGGGGGCGCTCTCTGTGAGCCCGGAGGTTGGCGGGTGCGCGCCGCAACCGCGGTGCTCCCTCTTCAGTAAGGACCGGCGCGGACGGCCGCGAGTTGGGCGCGCGGTCGTGGGCGCAACCTCGCGGAGCGCGCGGCCCCCGCCCCCAGCCCGCGCCGCTCGACCCCGTCAGCCTTGCCCCAGCGCTTCTCTCGCTGGCCAATCAGGAGGCGCAATCGGCCTCCCGGCCCCGAGTCCCCGCCCCCAGCCGGCGCAGCGCCAGCCAATGAACGGCCGAGTCCGGCGCCCTGTGCGCGCAGCCCGCGCTGAGCCGGCTCAGAGCGAGAAAAGCGAACCCAACCCGTCGGGGCCGCCGCTCCGGACCCGCAGCCACCGCCGCCTCCTCCCCCCGGATCGGGTGTACTGTCCCAACCCGAAAGTCCAGTTCTGCGGCCCGGCAGCGGCGAGCGGGCGCGATGACACAGGAGTACGACAAGTGAGTGAGGCGCGGGAGTCCGGCCGCCGCGGGGGGGCCGCGCTGAGGGGCCGCACCTGCCGCGAGCGAGCCCGACGCCGACCCGGAGGCCGCGCGGGCGGCGGGCGGCGGGCGGCGGGCGGCGGGCGGGCGGGCTGGCACGGGGCGCAGGCCGGGGGCTGCTGTCCGCTGTCCACTGTCCACTTCACGCCGCCGCGGCCTCTGCCCCGCGGCCCTGCCCGGCTCTTTGTTCGGTCGGAGCCTCGGGAGGAGACCCCTGCTTCGGGGAAACTCGACACCTGAGGGGCAGTCTCCCTTCCCTCCTTCTCGGCCAGGTGGGCCCCCCTCGGGCGCGCACGTCGGGGTCCGGTTCCCCGGCGTGGCCGAGCGCGACGCGAGGTCGGGGCGCCGCCAACGCCCCCGGGCCTCCCGGCTCCTGCGCGATCGGCCTCGGGAGCCCGGTGGGGCGCGCGCCGGGGCGGGACAGGTGGACTTCTCCAGGTAATCTGTGGTCGCAGGCTCGTGCCTCGGCGACCTGCTGTAACTCCCAGAACAGAAATGTAGGGGAAGGTTGAAGTGCCCCGATGTCCGGGCGTTTTCTTTTCACCGGCTGGCGGTGCGAGTGGGAAAACGGCTGTAGGAGTCATTTTGCCACTTGCATCATTGATGATAATTACAGATTACCGTGTTTTTAGTGCTCGGGAGAATCAGTAGGACGAAACTTTGAAATGCGGGTGTTAAACGACAGTACCGTACAAGCTAATAAAACCGTACAAGAGTTTGTGATTTAAAAGCGTATTTCGACAAATGTAAGGTGGTAATGTAAGACATGGGCGATTAACTGGGCGAGGGACATGTCTGTATTTTCTTTGCAGCTTTTGTGAAAATGTAAAATTGTTCTAAAATTTTAAAAATTAAAGGGAAATCGCACCAGGCCAGTCAGTATATTTCATTAAGCTCAGTAAATTTAAGGCAAATAGGTACCCCTCCCAGTTTCTTAGTTTTGTGAAAGATCGGTTTTTGTCCATGTGTTCTTTTTCTGGATGAGGTCGATATTTTGTATGGAGTATCTTAAATGGATTACGCTTGTGTTGTAGAATATGCAGTTAAATTATTGCCTAAAACATATTTCAGAAGTCTGGGAGATCCTGGACGAAGGGTTTAAGGCTCACCTGGAAGTGATGATGAGCCTTCAGCGACTGAAGCCTACTTCCTGTCATGAGGCAGTAGACTAAGAAAGGCAACTGGTTTTGTGTTTATTTCTTGACGTATGGTTTAGGTAAGGCAAAATTCCCAAAGGTAACATTTTGGCCTTAGGCAGGCTTTGGAAATATTAAAAACCTTGAGGGTGATTCCAAACAAAGCTATTTCTCTATTTTCTATTGCTTGTACACATTTGGGATGTGGGTGGGAGAAGAAGGGAAGCTGAAAACCAGCGTTAGGGAAATTGAACAAGCCAAGCGCTGTCATAGTCTTCTGGAAGTAGCTATTACGCTATTAATTATAGTTTAGCAATACACTGGTAAATCAGTCCATGGTACCACGCATTCAGTAGTTGTCCTACTCTGGTCCTGATGGCTCAGGGAATGCCACTTTGTATATTTATTTTCTTAAAAGTTGAGATTTGTGTAAGCAGTCTTCTCCATTTTTAGACAAACGATCTGCTCACTTTGAACAGCCTTTTATGTTTGTTTTGTGTTAAAATAGTATACCACCTCAGGACTACCTTACCAAATTAAGATTTATGCTTAGACATGAGTAAAAACATTGGCTTTCAAGTAACACTTCATTTTGACTGAGGATACACAGTTGGATTTTCTTCCCCCCCGCTTTTTGGAAGTTGTTCTTTTTCTGTCTGTATCTGTTTTTAAAGGCCCTGGGTGACTCCCAAGCCCTAACCTTTGTTGATTAGTTGAAAAGATAATCCGTCTTTCTACATTCACTTTTAAAATAGGTAGGTCACCTTTAGGCCATTTACATATTTCATTTGTGTGTTGCAATGAAAGCCAATCCTTCAATTTGCTTGTTAGAATAGTGATAATTCAGAGGAGTTCCAAACATTTAAGATTTATTTTTCTCCTTGAAAATAAACTGCTTTGTTTTGCTAGAGTGATTGTTCCATTTTTTTTCTCTTTATTGACTTATTTTAGTACCAAGTGAACAGTTGTTGAGACTGTTTACATTTCAAGTTTTGGAATCAGTAATGTTTGCTTTAATCTTTTAAATTAAATATTCCATAAGGTTTCACTAAGATCACCGTTGATTTTTAAATTTTTTAATTTTTCCCACCAAACTACAGTGTTAAAATGAGACAGTTCTTGTGCGGTGTGGAAAACTAGTAAAGATTTTTTTAAAAGCTAGATTTTCCCACATTTTTTAAAAAAACTCTTTTTGTTCAGTGGCTTCATTTATTGTTGTAGATTCTTAAGTGTTTATCTCTAGGATAAACAGTCAACTCCCATGCCAGAAAATTATGCCTCTTTATTGATTTACAGTCCCCTTTGGCCACATTCCATGCTCAATCTGCTGGTAATCAGTAGAATATTCTAACTTTCTCATATACCCCCAAGGATTATGTGAAGTATCCCTTTTTCTTTCTGCTGCTTCTTCCCTCCCTGCTGTGTTCAGGTAGGAATATTTAAGACATGTCACCCACCTTAGAAAGAGGGGAATAACATGTAGCAGTGTGACGAAATGGCACATGCTCTTCTCAAGAGCGGACAGTCCTGACAGTGTGTTGGAAGAGAACACATATTCTCTTTTCCTTACTGTGTCCTTGTGTTTGTTTATGGAAAGTATTTGAATAGCCTGGCATTTTCTCGAGGGTGGTTTTGTTTCACTTTTTTGCCAAACAGTATATCCTGGGTTCCATGTGTAGGTGAACTGCCAGTTCTCTGGGTGCCTAGACACTTTATGTCTTTTTGTGGCACCCATTGGTCTGCACTTCAGTGGTTCGTCTTTTGGTCTTGTATTTTTTTTTTTATCTCAAACTGGTCTTGTCTTAATATGACCTCCTAGGGTCATTGGTGAAACAATATGCTATTTTATAGGAATGTCAAGAAATTGGTAGCTTATGATGCCTTACAGTAGAAAAGTATGTGCTTTCTTTTCTTTTAATTTCTCTGAAGCAAACGGCCAGTGTTAGTTCTTCAGAATGAAGCACTTTATCCCCAACGGCGGTCCTACACTAGTGAGGATGAGGCCTGGAAATCCTTCCTGGAAAACCCTCTCACTGCAGCGACCAAAGCGATGATGAGCATCAATGGAGACGAAGACAGCGCAGCTGCGCTGGGCCTGCTCTATGACTACTACAAGGTTGGTTTGCCTGCTTTTAAAATCCTTAACAGCAGTCTCTAATGCACTTGATTCAGCAGCATATAAAACAGTCGTTTGCTGGTAGAATGCCATGCAAGTTGCTTCTGTAGTGACTATAAATAGTTTAATGAGTACTCTGACTGTGGTTCAAAGCTGAAAATGTCTGATTGTAGAATCAAAGGGTTGTTTTTAAATCATACAAAGCAGCCAGCTGCTGTGTCTCTATCCAGAAGGTGAAGCTACCATAAAAGAAGATGCTAGATGTGCCTTCTTGGGTTTGAACATCTCACTGAAGGTAGTTCTTAGTGCCATGGAAAGTGGGCAGGGCTCACTTACCTTTCATCTTTATTCCTGTGTAGTCAGGATGATTTCCTTTTCCCTAAATGATACTACAGAGCCTTTGAACGCATCTTCTCTAGTCTAGGACTGTCTAGTTCTGAGATCAGGATATGTTTTGCTGCCTGTTTTCTAAAGATTTGGAGTAGTCTTAATTGAATATAGTCTATACTCTGCATGGAATTTTACGTGGTTTTCATTATCTGGAAAGGACACTACTGATCTGTCTCATCATCATCATTGTCCTAGTAACATGAGCTGCCACTATTATACTAGACATGTTACCAGCCTGTGTGCAACTTCTTATTCTCAGGTCACAGCTGGATGTGTGCAGCTGGGGCTCTGTCTGGTCCATGCCCTAGTCTTTCCAATACAGTGTGCAGTCTGCTCTGCCTCTGGATTCACCTTGGCATTCTTCCGTCTGACCAGGAACACACATTTGAGAGTGGCTAAGTCTTTAGGGTACTACTTAAAACAGTAGACTGAGTTGAAGCACAGCTTTGCCATGGGACCTTTGTCTCATTGTCACTGTATGTGACCATCTTGTGTAATCATTGTGTTGTCATCACTACCTACAAGATCTGTTCGGGATTAACAGAAGCTTCTTAATGACAGTGTCTTCTCATGGATATAGTGCATATTTTTTACAGTTTATTTTTGCTATCTTTTTGTTTTAAAAACTTTGAAACCTACATAAAACATAAAAAAAGAGGATAATTAATTCTTAAATACCTTTACCCAGAATTGCCAGTTGGTGGCCATTGGCTATATTCTGGCACTGTATTCTTTCCTTAATATAAGAAATACAGAGGGGAAAGAGGCATAGGAGATAGTTTTATTGTTAAAATTACAGTGATTAGCCTGAGCAACATGGTGAGTCCCCATCTCTACCAAAAAAAAAAAAAAAAAAAACCACAAAAAAACAGAAATTAGCCAGCTGTAGTGGCACACATGCTTGTAGTCCTAGCTACTTAGGAGGCTGAGGTGGGAGGATCACTTAGGTCTGGGAAGTGGAGGCTGCAGTGAGCTGAGATCATGACATACCACCACATTCCTGCCTGGGATACAGAGACAGACCCTATCTCAAAAAAAAAAAAAAAAGAGTGGTTATTTCCTAGTATGAGGCCATGTTAAGTTGGGGCTGAGGGATTGAGGTAAGCTTTTTTTTCTTTGAATGTGAACAGAAACTTGTGTAATAACTAATAATGCCAGAAGAAACCCTTACCAGGGAAACACAGCCACGAAGAGTTCCTTTGAGGTGGAAAGGAATATTGTATATCTGTTCTGATAGCTCATTTTTTTGACTTAGTATAAATTAAGCTCCTAAAATATTAATTATTAATTTACATATTTTTAACTGAAACTGTTGAGAACAGGAGAAATTTGTTGGTACAAGTTTCATGCCAGAAAGACCAGTGTAATAACACTAGATGTAGTTCTCCTGTGTGTGTTTTTAAAATAAAGTATCCTAAAAGTATTAGATCTCACAAGGATTATAAATCCTCATGTCTGTTGGTGAAGGGTGACAATTTTAGTGGTACTTGTCAGACTTCTTGTGATAGGTGTAAATGTATTTTCTTCTTCTTCTTCTTTTTCTTCTTTTTTTTTTTTTAGAAGCAGAGTCTTACTCTTGCCCAGGCTTGAGTTCAGTGTTGCAGTTATAGCTCACTACAACCTCAGCCTCCTGGAGTTGAGTGATTCTCCTGCCTCAGATCTCCTGAGTAGCTAGGACTGCAGTTCATGCTTGGCTAATCGTAAAATTTTTTTTGTAGAGAATGAGTCTCACTGTGTTTTCCAGGCTGGTCTCGAATTCCTGGCCTCAGGCAGTCTTCCTTCCTTAGCCTCCCAGAGTGTTAGGATTACAGGCACCAGCCACTATGCCTGGCCTATTTTCTTTTTTAAATTGAATGTTTTGTTTCAGGTCTTTGGTTGTAAGCATCAGTCATTATTCCATAATAATTTTGATAAGGTTTGAAAAGCATGTTTTTAATACATGAAGCACTGTTTTTTCTTCAATGGTGAAACAAGAATGTAGGAATAGAATTTTCACATTGAAAACAATTTTTAAGCATCTTAGCGAATTTGGAGTGTGCAGTGGGGTTAAGTCTCAGTTGACTTATGTCTACAGGACATTCACTAATGTTTGCATACTTTTCATTTTCCTTGCCAAGAAAAGAACCAAAAAAGGAATAAAACAAACTGAGTTAGACTTGTCCTTTGGGTGGTGGACATACAGATCCCAGTGCATCTAAAGACACTGATCGTATGAATCCCTCGTTTGGATCTTGGAAGAAATGAACAGTTAACGTGGCTGTTCCTTCTGCTTTTGCATTTGATGAGAAAGGAGAGTAGTAAGTAAGAGCCCTGAGAAAGTTGAAGGAGCTCTGTTGTGTTTTCAATAGCTTCCTTTCTAATATTGTGTAGATAAATGCGTAAAACCAGGGCAGAGGTATTTCTTTTTTTCTTTTTTTTTTTTTTTTTTTTGAGCCAGGAAGAGTCTTGCTCTGTCACCCAGGCTGGAGTACAGTGACGCAATCTCTGCTCATTGTAACCTCTGCCTCCCGGGCTGAAGCGATCTTCTCACCGCTGTCACTCTTATGTGGCTGAGACTACAGGCACATGCTATCATGCCCGGCTATTTTAAATTTTTTTTTTTTTTTTTTTTTGTAGAAATGATGTTCACTGTATTGTCCAGGCTGGTCTCGAACAGTCCTCCCACTTTGGCCTCCTGAAGTGTCTGGGATTACAGACATGAGCTGCCAGCTTTGGCCATCAGAGGTATTTCTTTTAGGAGGTGAGACCCAAACTCTAGGGCAAAGTAAATTTATCATGCCCTGAGTTTATTTGGCAACTCAATAACAGTTGCTTTTTACATTGTCAACTAGATGAGTGACTAGATTTCAAGCTCATTGAGGGCAGATACTGTCTTAATCTTTGTGTGTCCCCATAGCCTGGTGTTTGGTAGGCAACTAGTAGATAAAGGAATGATTGAATTTACTGAAAAATAAAAGGCTATATCTTTGGGTGAACTGAACTTCATTGGATAAGAGCTAAATTCTTTTCACGTGTGTTAATATCAGGTTCCAAGAGAGAGAAGGTCATCAACAGCAAAGCCAGAGGTGGAGCACCCTGAGCCAGATCACAGCAAAAGGTATCGTTCGGTGCATAACAGCATAAATAGTGCAGGGGGAAACGCCACATTTCTGTAACAGCAAAATGGGAGTTTGTTTAAATGAACAAGCACTAGTAGAAGAGAGGTAAGTTGGATTCAATATCTCAATTCAGATTTCATCACTGATTTGCCTCTGTTGCTCTGAAAAAGTTTCTTCTCTTTGGGCATAGTAATAGCCTTTTCTAGAATGAAATTACTAACTTTCTCCTCCTCCAAAGGGCCATTTTTAGTTATAACTTAAGGGAAGTATTTGCTTATTTGTTTTTGAGGTTTTCTAAACTAGAGGGATGTGGCAGTGGTCCATTAAAAAAAGTTAAGTACCAGTGACTCTTGAACAACTGCCTGAGTAAAATTGAATAAAGCAAGTTAAATTATATTCAAATTTCTGTTGAAATTATTTGTGAAATATTTTAGATTAAAACTTTCAGAAAATTTAATTAAGGTTTAACTTTATAGCCATGACAAATTTTAAAAAGACACCTTTTAAATTGCCCTGTGTTTTATTATTAATCAAGGAATAAAACATATTTAAAGGAAGAATGATCATCACCCAGTATCCCGTTATGCTCATGATTGGTTTATTCATTGTTTGGGTATGCATGCAAATTTTATGTAGCTGTAGTTGTGTTCACAGATAGGATTTGGTAGTATACTTTCTTCTATTTAGTTTGTTTCATAAACATTTTCTGTGTGTTTTAATATTCATAATTATCCTTTGGAAGAGGACTTGTGGCTTTTATCTTTTACTCTTCATTATGGGCATTTTCAAACATAATGAAAATAGAGAAACAGTATAAGCCCACATGTATCCATGACCAGCCTCAGCCGTTATCAACACAGTTCCTCTTGTTTGATCTATTCTTCCTCTTCTTCAACTTTGAGATTAATTCATGTTTTTATTTTATTTATTTTTGCTGGAGCATTCTGAAACAAACTCTAAGTATCCTTATCATTGCCACTATATTTAGTTTTCACTATTATGAAGCCTTAAGGAACAACTTTCTAGATTTTTTTTTCCATTTTAGGATAAATTCTTGGGAGTGAATTTATGGTTCAGGATTCAAACAGTTTTATTGATCTTGAAATGTACAGAATTTCCAATTTCCCTGTTTCTTAAAGCTTCAGCCTATATGATTTTTGGGGGCGAGTTTTTGTATTTTTAGTAGAGACTGGGTTTTACCATGTTGGCCAGGCTAATCTCAAACTCCTGACCTCAAGTGATCCACCCACCTCAGCCTCCCAAAGTGCTAGGTGGGGCATGGTGGCAGGCACCTGGTATCCCGGCTACTTGGGAGGCTGAGGCAGGAGAATCAGTTGAACCCAGGAGGCAGAGGTTGCAGTGAGCTGAGATTGCACTATTGCACACCAGCCTGGGTGACAAGAGTGAGACTTTATTTAAAAAAAAAAAAAAAAATAGAGTGAGAGAGACAAAGCCAAATAGCATAGGTGTTAGGAAAAGTGGTGACCAAGTAATAATAGCTCATAGTTCTTGAAGACTATGTGTCAGGCATTATTATGCATGCTTTAGTACATCATCTCATCTCAGCCTTAGGAGAATGGATACCATTACTGTCCCCATTTTACAGATGAGGATTCAGTTACTAAGAGATGAAGTAACTTGCTCAGGTGACACAAAACTTGAACCCAGGCAGTTTGACCTTGGAATCTATGCTGTAAGCCCAATTGATAGGTCACATAGCTTCAGGTTTCTAGTAAAATATATTAATTTGTTTAGGATTATGGAAAGCAAAGCTTATTAGAGGAGAGCTCTGAGTCCTTAGTATTTCACATGAAATTTTACTTAATATATTTGGATTTTATTTGACCTATAACCAGAAGGCCTTTTTCCCTTTATCTAGTAGTGGGTAGTTTTGATGTTTTCTGTTTATTTGTTATCTGTCAAGTATATTGTTATTGCATGGGACTCAACAGCCCAATGCCATTAAGAAAATAAAAATTGCCAAAGAACTACATCAGCATTGAGTTTGAAAGCAGTTTTCTTTTTTTAAAGAAGCAGCATACCAATTGTGACGGAGCAGCCCCTCATTTCTGCTGGAGAAAACAGAGTGCAAGTACTGAAAAATGTGCCATTTAATATTGTCCTTCCCCATGGCAACCAGCTGGGCATTGATAAGAGAGGCCATCTGACAGCTCCAGATACGACAGTCACTGTCTCCATAGCAACCATGCCTACCCACTCCATCAAGACAGAAACCCAGCCACATGGCTTTGCTGTGGGAATCCCTCCAGCAGTGTATCATCCTGAACCCACTGAGCGGGTGGTGGTTTTCGACCGGAATCTCAATACTGACCAGTTCAGCTCTGGTGCTCAAGCCCCAAATGCTCAAAGGCGAACTCCAGACTCGACCTTCTCAGAGACCTTCAAGGAAGGCATTCAGGAGGTACAGGGAACTAAAACATCTTCCTAAGACGCCTGTGTGTTTGTATAAGTATTGGGTTCCACCTTTTCCTTGTTATGTAAGTGTGAAACTCAGCCTGAAATGAATGGATTAGGAATAAAAGATTTTTTTTTTTTTTAAAGAGAAAAGGCCCATGGGTATAATTTGTAAACTAAACCTATAAAACCAGAAGTTATTATCAGGGGTGCATGGCTAATCTTACTAGCAGCTGATTTAACAATTATCATTTCAGCTAAGTGATTTGTTAGAGAAAGAGAACCCTATACATAATCTTCTATTCACCATAGGTAGATTCTCATAGTCTGTTTTCAGCATTTGTCCTAGTGCCAAACCAGCACCCTGGAACTGGTCTTAATATGAAATGAGTTATTATGTCTTTGCTTGGTGTTTCTTGGTTGCTAATATGGTCAGGGAGATCACAAATGCACTGTGTGAAGTTTACAAATTAATTCCAAATAGTTCTAAGGGTTTTATGGTGATGAATACGTCACTCAGCTAAAAGTTAGGGACAAAATGTGTTAGAAATTGTATTTAATGACTTGGTGGGGGCAAAGAGCATCCATCTCTCGGTATGGAATTCGCGGCAGAAGGTTAGCCTTTCCTGAGAAAATGCACCACAACTCTTCAGTTGTGGTGTGAACTCGATACTGTGTCTTAACTTGGTACAGTGATAGGGTGACTCTTAAAAGCCGTGAAATGTTGGTTGCAGCTCCTAGTGTTTGAACAGAGTTGGGATGTGTGTGAAAGATGGAAAAGGGGCTTATGAGTCAGAAGCACTGGGTGGGAGTACCTACACAGCTGCTTGTAATTTACTTGAGTGGCATATAAAAGTGGATATTTTCTCTTTTAAAATTTTTTTTTTTTTTGAGACAGAGTCTCGCTTCATCCCCCAGGCTGGAGTACAGTGGCACAATCTTGGCTCATAGCAACCTCCACTTCCCAGGTTCAAGTGATTCTCCTGCCTCGGACTACAGGCGTGCGCTACCATGCTTGGCTAATTTTTGTATTTTTAGTAGAGACAGGGTTTCACCATGTTGGCCAGGATGGTGTCGATCTCTTGACCTCGTGATCCACCCCCCTCGGCCTCCCAGAGTGCTGGGATTACAGGCGTGAGCCACAGCGCCTGGCCCTCTTTTTAAATTTTTAAAATATTTGTAGATTTAAAATTTTTATTTAAAAATAAATATGGAAAGGATAGTGGGTTGCTGTAAGCCACATACTTTTATGCGGTACCAGAGCTTGGTCTTCAGTAACCATAACCAGTTAAATAGTTGTGGCTTATCACATTGATATTTCAGGTTTTCTTCCCCTCGGATCTCAGTCTGCGGATGCCTGGCATGAATTCAGAGGACTATGTTTTTGACAGTGTTTCTGGGTAATAGATGTCTTTTAATTTGATTTTTAATTTGCAGCTTTTATAACTTACTCCTTTCTTGTTAACTTGATAAATCAAAGGTGACTTCTGCCGGCTTTTTCCTTATCTTACTACATTTACTGTGGCACAAGCTTGGGTAGAGGACATCTGCTTCAGTGCTTTTAATTTTGAACTCTTTGAACTATGTTTCAAGTTTCCTGAATTCTTGGTGTTGGTACTTTTTCTTTCTTTTGGTTTCTTTGTGTGATGGTAGTAGAATGAAATCTAACAGGAGAGATGAGAGGATTAAATTAAGTGTCTGAGGTCCTTTCTCTTGCCAAAAATACATAATTAGGTGAGAATTTAGGAGTAACATCAATTGGATAAAAGCTTTTTTTTTTTATTAGCTTCACTAATGATAAAATGAAGTCAACTTTTTTGAAGTCAACTTTTTTCTGAACTGACAATTTCCTTTTGACATCACAAAATTGTATCTCACTCTGGGAATATGAATATTTTCCAAGTTAATTAGGAACTCATATTTTGTTTTATGTGTTTTTCACATGTGTTACATTGTGCAGTTTTTAAAAAGTGTAGGATTTCATGGGAATTGAGACTTCCCTTAGAGATCTGCCTTAAGATGCAGGAGTCACAAACAGGAATGCCTTCAGAGTTTAGGATAGGGGTCAGCTAACTTTTTCTGTAAAGAGTCAGAGTACGTATTTCAGGCTTTGTGGGCCATACAACCTCTGTATGTTTTTGCAACTACCCAAGTCTGCAGTTGTGCAAAAGCAGCTGTAGATAATATGTAAACAAATGGTGTGGCCATGTGCTAATAAAACTTTAGTTACAAAAATAGGTGTAATCTGCTGAGCCCTGGCCTGGGAAGGTTATTAAATAACTTTAGGGGCATATGTGAGTGGTAATGTTAGGTAATAGTTGTAATGTTGTGAATTGTGAAGTGCCTATTAAAGACATTTAAATTACAAGTAGAAACAACAAAAAAGTGCTATTCAGTCCAAAATGAATTGAGTCAGAGGACCGCCGTCCACCTGGCCGAAACCTCTGCTGGATGAATACCAGATCGGCAGCACGGCTTGCCAGAAGTTCCTTCCAAAGTCCTTTCCACCTATTCGTGTCTTTAATATTCTGATCCCTGAAACTCAGGATGTCCGATCACTAAATCCGTCACATCGTAGAATTTTTAATAGGCATTTTGTACTTCTACATCTGGGAGACTTGAGAATTTCTAGCTGCTGAGTACTTTCATTTCAGATTTTATGAAAAAGATAGCAAATGATATTTATGATATGATGTATAGCAAGCTTCGACGAGAGTGGATTTAGAGATCTGTGACTTCTTTTGTCCTTTAGGAACAACTTTGAATATACCCTAGAAGCTTCAAAATCACTTCGACAGAAGCCTGGAGACAGCACCATGACGTACCTGAACAAAGGCCAGTTCTATCCCATCACCTTAAAGGAGGTGAGCAGCAATGAAGGAATCCATCACCCCATCAGCAAAGTTCGAGTAAGTTCTGCTCTTAGTCCTGTTCTCTAGGAAAGCTAGTTAGAGCCTAACATTTCTAGGTCCGAAGCAGCTCTAAATGATGGCCTAAAATTGCAGCTTTAAGCCTTCACTGTAAAATACAATACTAAATATGTTTTCCAAAACATACTCACCCTTTAGTGTCTTTATGCTGTAATGCATTCTCTTTTGTAGAGTGTGATCATGGTGGTTTTTGCTGAAGACAAAAGCAGAGAAGATCAGTTAAGGCATTGGAAGTACTGGCACTCCCGGCAGCACACTGCTAAACAAAGATGCATTGACATAGGTAAGCAGCTCAAGAGCCTGCTTTTATTCCCAGAGGTGCAGCCATCCAGTTTTCTAAATCCAATTATTTTTGGCAGTGATTAGCTTCCTGCCAAAAGCATTTGAATTTTTATGCCAGCTACTGATCTGTTCCAAACACTGTCCTCAGCCTCCTGGAACCAGTGTTCTCACCATTCCTCCCATGCAGTAATGGGACATGTGCCCTGTGGTGGCTTTCCACAGGACACTGGGGCCAGAAGCCATGTAGCTGGCTGAGAGAGTCCCCAGTTTTTAGTGTGCAGTTGCTTTAAGGGGTAATATCTTCTTTAAGAGATTCTGGCCGGGCGCGGTGGCTCAAGCCTGTAATCCCAGCACTTTGGGAGGCCGAGGCGAGTGGATCACAAGGTCAAGGGATCGAGACCATCCTGGTCAACATGGTGAAACCCCGTCTCTACTAAAAATACAAAAAATTAGCTGGGCATGGTGGCGTGTGCCTGTAATCCCAGCTACTCAGGAGGCTGAGGCAGGAGAATTGCCTGAACCCAGGAGGCGGAGGTTGCAGTGAGCCAAGATCGCGCCATTGCACTCCAGCCTGGGTAACAAGAGCGAAAACTCCGTCTCAAAAAAAAAAGAGAGATTCTGATTATTATTTGGAGACGACAAGGTAGAGAAAAAAACAAGTAAAAGAAAATAAGTAAAAAAGATAACTGCTGCTGTACAGTTACCTGACAATCTTCCCTAGTCATGTGCTGAGCTGCGTAACGAATCTCTCCTATCTGTGTGAGCTCTAGTGGCAAACCTGTGCAAATTCATATTTACTGAAGTAGCTTTACGCAGACCTCTGTTCTTGTCATGTATGTAATTTCATGTAAAACCATTGTCTGTATCACAGATGGCTGTTAATATTAGTGTTACTTTTTTCCTTTATCTTTTGTAATGCTCATGTTGCCTTTTCAGGAGAATGAGAACTCAGTTCTAGTCTTGTTTCTACGGAATAGTTTTGTGACCTTGGGACTGTTATTTAAATTCTTTAGACCTAAATTTCTTAATTGTGACATAATGAGATTAAATTAAATATGTCCAACCTTTCCTCTATTAAAAAAACTGTGATTCTTTTTCTTCATATTTTGAACTTCTTCTAACCCAATAAAATGTTAATTTAAGTTGTCCAGAGGTGATGATGTTAAAAACTAGATCTTATTTTGAACTGCTGGGATCCCATGTTGAAACTAAAACTCATGAGTTTTTGTTTTCTCTTCCACTGCTTCCTATAGCTGACTATAAAGAAAGCTTCAACACTATCAGTAACATCGAGGAGATTGCGTATAATGCCATTTCCTTCACGTGGGACATCAATGATGAAGCAAAGGTGGGTGGTGAGGTCTGGGTGCCTTATGTCTGGCCATTTGAGAAATGGGAGGAGTTTAAGGATTTGACAACTGATGATTTTTTTTTCACAGTTTTATGTTTTCATTTTCAGATGATATGAAACTTTCCTCTCTCTTTCTATTCTCCCCTCCTCCAAAACAGATCATTTTTGTTGCCATACTTTGCGCAGAGTGCAGTGTGTGAAACATTGGGATTAAGTTGCACTCTGCTGCTCCTGCTTGACTTTGAGTCTGACTCCTCATTCACTTTGCCTCATTTCCTCATTTGCACAGTGGAGGTGATACCTGTCTCCTTACTCCATTCAAGGAAGTATAAGGCGTAATGAAACAATGATCATCAGACTGTTGGAGTGTCTTCAAGAAAGGCTCTTAAATACAAGTGATTATTAGCAGTACTTTGTTTCATATCATCACCTTGTAAATATGACTCAGTGTTAAGATTCTTCTGTCTTGGGCTTTTACAGTTGAAGAATTGCCTCTAATTCAGATGGAGTAACTCTAATTGGCTAGATTAGTGACTCCAATTAGTGACTCTAATTGGAGTTTTGGGGCCCTTTAAGAAAAATTCAGCATATTCTTAAGTCCTTTCTGCCTTTCCCTGCCTTATTCTCTTAGTGTGATCCTTCTCTTCACTAAATTATTAGAGTTCCTATATTTCTTTCTTTCTTTGGATTATTTTAAAAACTGGGTGCTCAAGAAACTGAATAGAGGCTGGGCATGGTGGCTCACACCCATAATCCCAGCACATTGGGAGACAGGAGTTTGAGACCAGCCTGGCCAACATGGTGAAACCCTGTCTTTACTAAAAATACAAAAAATAGCCTGGCATGGTGGCATGGGCCTGTAATCCCCATTACTTGGGAGGTTGAGCCAGGAGAATCTCTTGAATCCAGGAGGTGGGATAACATTGAGCCGAGATTACGCTACAGTACTCCAGCCTGGACGACAGAGTAAGACCCTCCCCCACCCCCCCCCCAAAAAAAGAGAAAGAAACTCGATAGAAACATAGGTCATTTTTTGGACAGTTGTCAACAGAAGGCTGATCTTTAATTTTTGTTACAATATTAGGGATAGCGTTCTCTCAGGGACCTGTGCAAAGAAGTGATGTACATCTTCTTGTCCTTTTTCAGTCTCTGTTTTTCACTTTTTATTTATTCAATAAGAATTTTAGTAACTTTTAGAATAAGACACTGTATTAGGTGCTATTAGGGTTTCATTTCATACTGCCCAAGAGAGCTTTTGAAAATCATGTCACTGGGTCTTGAGAGCCATGTTAAGGTTGTATTATAATTGCTTTTCTTTCTTATCATTGTCATCATGTCCAAGACAAACATGTGCCTTTCAGACTGCAGACTCTAGGCAGTTGGGCCCACCAGGCAGTACGGAAGTTTAGGTGATTGTAGCTTTAGAAGGGTTTTCCTGCCAGCCACCTCAGTCCTACACAATTATCAGGTAGATGCATAGTCCAGAGTTTGTTGTTTGGTTAAGCAATAAATAGATAAACTTTCCATTTTATATAATTGTTGTTACAGTTGTTTTGAAATTAAATATCATAATAAGACAGTCCACTGGCTATAAAGAACAGCTTATAAAACATGTTGGCCTTGTGCCCCAGGATGCTTTTATTCTTTTTTTTTTTTTTTTTTGAAACGGAGTTTCGCTCTTGTTACCCAGGCTGGAGTGCAATGGCGCGATCTCGGCTCACCGCAACCTCCGCCTCTTGAGTTCAGGCAATTCTCCTGCCTCAGCCTCCTGAGTACCTGGGATTACAGGCACGCGCCACCATGCCCAGCTAATTTTTTGTATTTTTAGTAGAGATGGGGTTTCACCATGTTGACCAGGATGATCTTGATTTCTTGACCTCGTGATCCACCCGCCTTGGCCTCCCAAAGTGCTGGGATTACAGGCTTGAGCCACCGCGCCCGGCTATTCTTTTTTTTTTTTTTCAATTCCTGAAGAATTGCCATAAGAGATGAAAATGCTTTTATTCTTAAAGCAAACTGGAGTGTTACTTGCTATTCGCCATTGGGGCCTCACTGAGAAATTGTGGAGGAGGTGATAAAGAGCCCATAAGTCCTGAGTTCTCCTTTTCCAACTTATCTATGACCTTGGGTTAGTCCCTCAGTTCACTAGTTCAGTCTTTTCTCCTTGATCCCCTAGGAAAAGTCACCAGGTTAGAGTGGCCAACTCTTCTTTGTTGGGTGTTGTCAGGATTAATAAGCGCTTGTCAGAGACTTGGAGATCTTGACTGAAAGGCCCAGCACATGGGCAGGGCACTTTGTTTGTTTGATGTGTCACTCTTTGGGGTGGGAGTAATGAAAGCCAAGATGACGGGTAGGGATAATGGCTTGTTTTATTCTGAAGGCCTGCAGCATATTTGTATTAGAAATATTGTTGGAGGAGTGGCTTAAGTAGCCTTAATAGCGTTGCTAATTGATGTAGGTAAACTCAGTTTCATTTCCCCTTTCAGACCCCCAGCATTGACGTGATTTTAAGCCTTTGCCTGCTGCCAGAAGGGTGTTGTGCCATTTTTTTAATGAGGCTGCTGCCTTTTGAAGCTGATATCAGGCATCAACTTCAAGCCTGTGTTCTAATTAAGTATCGAGGTTTTTTGCTTTCCTGGCCAAGTTGATGTTTTCTGTTTTATTCTTAAAGTAATTAATGCCTCAGGGCAGCAAGAGTGAACAAGTGTACATGCAGAATCCTGTATAGTTGGGTTTTTTTTTTTTTTAAGCTATTGTCTGAAAATATCTATTTTCTTTGCCCACTTTCTGGTTCTCATTTAGGATGCATTTGTTGATTTCATTTTTTAAATTTAAGATTTATACTGGGCACATAATAATTGCACGTATTTCAAAAATTAGTTGATGTGGTGGTGCACTCCTGTACTCGGGAGGCTGAGGCAGGAGAATTGCTAAAACCAGGGAGGCAGAGGTTACAATGAGCTGAGATCACGCCACTACACTCCAGCCTGGTGACAGAGCAAGACTCCCATCTCAAAAAAAAAAAAAAAAAAAAATTTGTACGTATTTATGTGGTATTTGTTAATGTGATTTAAAGTTCTTGCTCCCCCACAACCATAAGGGTTTATTGGAGTTATGTGGCTTTTTCTCCCCTCCCCTCGCCTTGTAATGATCTCTAATGTACCCTTTGGCCATGCGAGGATGAGTAAAACCGGAAGTCTGGCCCAGTGTCAACATCTAAATCTTACCTGTAGCTTCGGCTTCTCAGTTTGGAAGTGATGATAGTTTGAGGATGTTTTGGGTTGAATCTTGAAAGGTTTGGCTTACATTCCACTTTGGGGACAACACTGACGAAGCTAGGACCCATCTTACACTGGCCCGTGTGCGCTCCGTTCATCACCATAAACTTATGTCTGCTATCATCATGGAAACTTTTGGAGTTCTGGAACTTGTGAAGATTTGTTAGTTTTCAAAGTGGTGGAAGAAAAGGAAGTTGCTTTTTGAAAAGCAGAAATGTCTTACAAACAAGCCCCTAGGGGATCTGTCTGCTATATAGATATATTTCCTTCATTTTATTGTACTCCCACAGAATTAGATTTGTTTGAGTAGTTAAGAGTGAGAGGTCTCTGGACAGGTTAAAGGTCATCAGGCGTTCACATTTCATTGTGAAATAATCAGTTTTCTTGCTTCCTGATGCTTAGCTGAGATTAGCTGCTTGAGGTAATTTCTGCATGGAGAAGAAGCAGTTATCTTTGAAGCATTAAACATTGGAGCTCTGGTAAGGTGCTGAAGTTTAGGGTTTGTAGGACAAGATGAGGGCACTGGTCTGCAGAAGAGAGGCCTAGGAGCTTGAAGGGAGGGTGCCTCCAGCGAGGTGGGAGAAAGATACACACAAACTGATCTGGATCAACATTTTCTCTGGAGCCAGCGGTACACCTTTGCAGAAGTTCAGAATTGAGCCCAGCACATTTCCGAGTGCCTGCTGTGGACAAGGCGTGGGCTGGATTCAGGCTCCTACCACTAGTTCTGCAGGCCAGGTAGAGAGTGGCATAAGTGTCCCCATTTGTGGGGACAGCCTGAGTCTTAGGAAAAACGTTTTTATCCCACTTTAAAAATGAACTTTGGGAACACAATTGATAAACTGGGGCTATTTGTTCTGCAACAATTACAGTATGTTCTAAACCAAGCCAGTTTAGAATAGGCTGAACTGAATGGGCTGTGTGTCTTGGCCTAGAGTGTAATTTCTTGCCTGAGTTGTAAATCTTAAGAGTCTATAACAGCATTGAGATTTGCTGAGTGATAAGAAGCAAGGGCCTCTCAAAGAGTGAAGATCTAAAATAAATAGAGGAAAAAGAAGTTAAGGAGAAAGAATTAACTTCTTTGAGTCCCTTTTATATGCTAGGTGCTCTGCTAAGGTACCTCATCTATATTCATAGTTAGTGAGGCATGGCTGCCTGCCCAGCAACCATAAACGGTACCCAGTACTCCACGCAATTACATGCTTGCTGCTTGGTTATCCAAATGAGGCCTTCTGAGGAAGATAAACTCTAGACCTTGAAATGGATAGAAAACGTTCTTGACAGGGAAGATTACTTAAAAGTGTAGGTATTATTATTAACAAAGCAACATTACGGACTCACTAATATAAATAAGAGCACCTTTGCTAGTAAGAAATAATTTATGTTGGCTTATAACGTTTAAGTTGAATGAGTAACATTTAAGCACAGAGAAGTAGAAATTATAAACTAAAAAGCAGCTGTATTGGAATCCAGTAAAAACTGCGCCAGCCAGCTCTGAGGGAGGCCTGTGAGCCAGCAGGCACTAAAGGAGGGATGTCTGGGGGTGGTGTAGGGACACCTTTGATAGAGTCAGCGACCCAACATGGCAGATGGGAAAACTGCGGTCAAAGCAAACTGCAGGATTTCTTTGATCATCTGTACATAGGTATGATCGTCATGAATAGTAAGCACACTTTTAAAGGATGTAATGAATCCTGGGAATACAAAATAAGAGGTTTT